CCCCAAATCGTTAACCGCTCACGTACGCGTCACGATATTGCGGGACGTGGGGCGTGGTAATTCCGAAAACGAGTTGTGCGATCGTCGAGCTGGGGGGTCAAAGCGTCAAGACAGGTCAAGCAGGTGTAAAGAAGAGGGGAACATTCACTCCTTAAACTTAACGGTATAGGAGGAAATGCCAGGAATCCCTGCGGCACAATTCTAAAACGGCCTCGACCTAGGTCGTTGATAGTCGGGGCTATAGCTCATAGGTAGAAAGCCGTCACTGTGCCGAAATTGCGAGGTCACAGGTCAAGGTCAATGGGCACAGGGCGATTTTAGACATTTTCTGAGGACATGGTCATGACGGAGCGATTGGAAAAACTTTTTTGTTTCAGCGCGTGACCTAGCATTTTTATGGCTTTATTGAAAGGACCATGAAATATTGCTATTCCTCCGACATGCGCGAAGAGTAGGTGTCGGAATAACCTTTTGACCTTCAAGAGGGAGGGCTTAAATTGATATTGTTGAATGTTAACAAAGGAGTGAACTGCTTTTGCTATTATTAGAGCCATACTGTGTCAATGTGAGGCTCGTTGTCACATAAAACTTTAATTGCAAAGGCAAGAGTTTGGACTGTGAACGAAGGGTTTACGCTCGCTTAAACATATCATTTTCTAACAGCAGTCTGTCGTATACACCCTGCCGCCGCCTGAATGGCTGAATGATGAATCAGTGAATTGCTCGCATGAGGGCAAAACACGGGGCCACGCTTTCTATCTAATATGTTTGCTGCAACCTGCAATGCACATGGTGTAACTCACAGCTGAGCGAAATTATCGCGCCCTGCTCTGAATATATACTTACTTGCGATTTTAGCCTGTACCTACTGTAGGATTTCGAGGAGATGCAGGGCAGATGCCATCTTTGATTATGATGTACACTTTGCACGCGCATTCTCGCGGGCAACTACTAGGGCTAGTTTAATTAGATTTTATTCTCATATGGTAACTTTGTTAAACGAATAAGATCTAACTAGTACCGGACTATAATATCATATATTTACTTTTTCATTCTTAAATCACTTAAACATATTATCATGGTAAGCTATGGCCTGTGTTGTATCATTTACCAGTTATGCGAACATAAGCTTTTAATAAAAGTATTAGAGACACTATAGTATTTATGATTTCTATAACTGTTCACTCAGCGGGCATAGGAAAAGAGTATTATTGAGGCGGGCAGTAAAAGATCATTCGCTGGGTTTTAAATTTTTTTATATAATAATGATGAGAGAGCAGAGAAAGCTAAGCATAAAGATGAGAGAGAGAGTAGTAAATTTGAGTACCGGGGTACAGTGAACGGCTTGTGATACGGTGGTGTATGCGAGCGGAAACGGGTGGTACAATTATGGTCGTGCGATGGACTGGTGTGCATAGGTGAGATGGAGAGGTGGGAGCAGAGGGGAGGGACGGTTCTCGATGCAGGCGAGTAGGGGTAGAGGGAGGTAAGGCGGGTGGAAGTTGACGACAGGCAAGGGGTGAAGGTGGGAGGCCAGGGGGAGGAGGAGGGGAGGGAGGTGGGACGCAGTGGGGAGGGAGGTGGGAGAGAAGGACTCGATCCCCGCCCCCTCTAATTAAACTTGGAGATCCATGCTCATATGTTGAAATCTTTTATAGATAGATAAAAATAGATAGCTGTGAATCTATGACACAAATTCGAAGTGAAAGGCAAGTATCATTTAATAAAATAAACCGAAATCGCATTGGGGGGAGATAGTGAGCGTGTCCTAACAATGATGTGTACGCAACTGTGTATCTGCATATCTGCGCCTAACAAATGTGTCACTACGCACGACTGAAATTGTACGTTCATAACCGTAGCAACAGACCCCAGATGAGCCCAGACGCTCTGCGGCTCTTGTAATATTACAACCAGAATCTCATCGTCTTTTCTGGTTGAGAATCTAGTTTACTGTTTTAGCTTCCTGGGGCCGGTTTCACAAAGCGTAATTAACTTTAATTATGATTAAATCACTAATCATACTTAACCTCCTGTAATTATGATTAGTTAATCATGCTTAAAAATCTGTTTCACGAAGCCATTTAACTAATCACACAATTAGCCGACTTAAACATGAATTACACTCTATTCAAAATGGCGGACAACGCCAAAAGTATCTGCAAATTCCGTACATGAAAAGGAATTAATTTGCAATTATAATGACTAAATTAGTACAGCTAATCTTAGATAATTTAAATTTCCTTGGGAAAAAATTTAAGTATAATTTCCAATTGTAAAATCTGCAGCGTACTTAATATACTAGTACTATCTACATACTACTTCTAGTACTAGCAACTAATTATGATTAGTGGATTTAATATTGCTCCTGAGTAGAATTAAATATTGTGATTAACTTAATCATGATTAAAGTTAATTACGCGTCGTGAAACAATCACTTCAATTTAAGTACGGGAAGTTAATCATGATTAGTGATTTAATCATGATTAAATACTTAAGTACGCTTCGTGAAACCGGCCCCTGTTGGTTGATAATACTTCCGTCAGTTTTTTTTTGCGGGTATTGTGATAAGTATGCCTACCCTCTGGAAACACCCCTCCCCTCGGACAATTACCCTCCCTCGGACATTTATTCCCGGGGACAATCACCCCCTGGACAATAACCCCCTTCTCGAACAATCGCCCTAATAATCGTCCTGTGGTAATCGTCTGGTGGCTGATTGTCTAGGGGGGGGGGGTAAATATCCAGAAGGTCAAGCGTCAGCGAGCGCTTCAATTGTCTGGGGAATAATTGTCCGCGGGGTGTTTGTACGGGGGTAATTGTCTGGAGAGTAATTGACCGTGAGTATTTGTCCGGGGGTAATTGTTTTGTGGGTGGTTGCCTGGGATGTATTTATCCGGGAGGTCATTGTCCCAGGGTTAATTGCCCGGGAGGCAATTTTTCGGGAGTATATTGACCGGGGGATAATTGTTTGAGGGGGGGGGGCAATTTTCCATGGCGGTAATTGTCTGGGGAGTGATTGTTAGGTAGGTAGATAGATAGATAGATAGATAGATAGATAGATAGATAGATAGATAAATAGATAGATAGATAGATAGATAGATAGATAGATAGATAGATAGATAGATAGATAGATAGATAGATAGATAGATAGATAGAGAGATAGATAGATATATATATAGATAGATAGATAGATAGATAGATAGATAGATAGATAGATAGATGGATAGATGGATAGATGGATAGATAGTAAAGCGATATATAAAAAGAGAGAGCGCGCGAGTGGGAGGGAGGGAAGTGAATGGAGGGAGAGGGAGCGAGTGATGGAAGAACGTTATGTGACTGCAACTATATCTCTCCACTCACTATTCGTACCCGCTGCCTATATACTGGCTATTACACATAGTTATGCTTGTTCACGCAGGACCAGGGTGAATTCGTAGAAGAGGAAGAGGAGCCATTGGACATCACGTGGCCAGACACGTGTCGACGGCGTGTTACGTACCTGCTGCTGCTGCCTATCGTGCTGCCTTTATGGTTGACTCTACCTGACATGCGCAAACCGGTACGTATATAATGTATTTGTAGAACACTAACCAACCCTTCCATTATTGGGCAGGTTTAGTAGGAGAAAGAACGAGGGTGGATGGTTGGTTGGGTCGGTACGTGCGTGTGTGCGTACGTGCGTGCGAGCGAGCGAGTGCGTGAGCGTGCGTGTGTGCGTGCGTGAGTGAGTGAGTGAGTGAAAGTGAAGTGCGTGAGGACAGTGACGTGGAGTGTGTGGAGTGAGCTGGATAGTGGGATATCGTGAGGTGACGTGAGTGAGGGTGAGGGTTGACTTGTGAGTGATTGTGATGTGAGGTGAGGTGAGTTGAGGTGATGAGTGAGTGAGTGAGTGGGTGCGTGAGAGCGTGAGTGCGTGAGTGCGTGAGTGAGTGAGTGCGTGAGTGCGCGAGCGAGTAAGCTAGTAAGTTAATGTGTGTGTGTGTGTGTGTGTGTGTGTGTGTGTCCGCGCGCGCGCGCGAACAATTTGTGAAAATATTTCCAACTAACCTTCGAGATATTATTTAACTATATCCCCAAAGCTATAACGAAGGTAAATATTGTAATGTAAATATATACAGAGCGTTCATTCCACACGACAGCGAGTATCGTTGCACGGATCGTGATATATCTATATATATAAAGTTGTTCAGCCGAATTTGTGTGTTCGCGCATAACTATAGAGAACTCCGCAGCCTAGAGGAAAACTAAATATATTTTTAGAATCAGCACGTCTGAGAGGTGGTTCTGGCTGATTTTTCAAAAAAGATAAAAAGTTAAAAATTTATAAAAATTCTATTCATCAATAGATGGCGTACAGATTAACATTTTACATCACGTACGTGTGAATCCATGGTGTATAACCATAACGGCCCAGTAGCCTAATGGATAAAGCATAGTACTCCTAAACCATTAAATCTGGGTTAGAATACCCCCTCATGAAATACTTTGTTTCTTTACTTTTTGACTGTTTAGTATGTACTTCTGCCGTATTCACCGTTAATTTCAATTTTTTTTTTTACCACATTTAAACGTTTAGTAAAAATCCAGAATAAACAATGGTAGATGATAATGATAGCGCAAACTGACGGGAACACTTCACAGAAGCCTATGTATGTTACATATCAAATATTATTATATTTTCCATATAATTTCATTTTATTATTTATAATTTTTGACTTTTTTATTTTAATGACTTTTATTTTTTGATTTCGTATGATTTTTTACTGTTGGGATGGGATGGCATGGGATGGCATGCGATGGGATGGGATGGCATGGCATGGCATGGCATGGCATGGGATAGGATGGGATGGGATGGGATGCGGTGCGATGGCATGGCATGGCATGGCATGGCATGGCATGGCCTGGGATGCGATGAGATGGCATGCGATGGGATGGTATGGGATATGGGATGGGATGCGGTGCGATGGGATGGGATGGCATGGCATGGCATGGCCTGGGATGCGATGAGATGACATGCGATGGGATGGGATAGGATGGGATGCGGTGCAATGGAATGGGATCGGATTGCATGGAATGCGATGGATAGATGGATGCATGGATAGATAGATAGTTCAATTTTTTTAGGCATTTTCCTTTTAACCAAGCGGTCACCAACTGAGTAACGCCACTGATTTCCCCGAGAAACGCCGGGTATTCCGCTAGTATAATATATAAACCCGTAAATGTAATAAAACCAATGTTTGATAACAAAATTATAATCGTCCGTTACATCGATTGCGTGTGCTCTGGCTAATCACCACCGCTCGCTGCACACATGCTCAGGCTTTCCAGCAGTCCTTGACAACATTTTAGGGCTAATTTTAGGGAGAAATTAAGGTTTTTTTAGGGCTATTTTAGGAATTTTTAAGGATGAATCGAAACATTTCAGGGATAAAATAAGTCACTTACCTTTCATAAACATCAACGTGTTAACTTACAGATACAGTTCTATGTGGTATGTGTCCAGTCTACCAGCTATTCCTATCCTCCAAGTCCTCGATACGACTGTACATCATCAAGTTTTATGCAAATTAGGCATGTCTTGTACATCCAGCCAGGAACAGGATCGTATAATCAGACACTGAAGCTTAGGAATCACTGGTAGACTGAGAGTCACATTACTTACTCTGTATAAAGATAACTAGAAAATATCCATTACTGATTAGACATAATTACAAACCAAAAGTTCATCATCTCATCACCAAAAACTCCAAACATATCTGTGAATTTTTTTTTTGTTTTAGGAATTTTAATAAAAATTCTAGCCTTTTTTAGGATTGCATAACATTTTTATAAGTTTTTTAGGAATTTTTAGGCGAGCCTCAAAATATTTTAGGAATTTTTTATAGAAATTTTAGGCCGCTGGAAAGCCTGCCATGTGGGGTAAGCCTCCGCTAAGTCTCAGCTGAGCGGCTCGTTGTCGTATAGCGGTAGCTACATATACTTGTTACCGAGAACATATATGTATACATAAGTAAATAATGCTAGTCTAGGGAGTCGCATACCGCCTACTCCCTAAACTTATACCCTAGCCCTAACCCTAACCCCTAACCCGTCGATATTAATATATATATATACCTATATGATTATTAGATATATATATATATTATATGAGTACATTTACGTGTGATTTCCATTAATAAATAGTTTGAACATATTATATATATATAGCTGCGTTCACACGAGACTCCGTAGTTTATGAAATCGGTATTTGCCGAGATAACGAATCTGAGACAAATAACCGCGACCCGAGCGATTCACACGTCTGATTCGCGGCTCCAGAAATCTAACAGTATTTTGCCCACTGGAGCGCGCCGAAGCCTGCTTCTAGGCACTGTAAAAAAAACAAACGTGGCCATAGCGACAATCAAGCCGAAACAATGCTGTCAGAAATATAAACCAAGCATTTTTAAACAAACCTATAATAGATCACTAACTCAACGCAAACGATTTACAAGAATACAAAATTACATTACAATATACTACGAACCAACTAATATTAATTCTGTGTCACAGTTTAGAGATATCGAGATTACTTGCTAGTACAGAACGGTTAGTCCAGCAGCGATCTAATAGTTTACACTAACCAATGTTATGATTGGGTTGGTGATAAATACCTCAATTTTTTACAAAACCGTATAATATCGCACTCAACACAGTCATATTCATTGTAATGCTAGTACTAAGAAGGTATAGCGGTGTCAGCACTCATCTAATACGTTCTGACACACTAAAACAATGTAATGATTTAGGTTGAGTTCTAAATACGAAATGCGCACCAACTGCCGAATAAAATACGACACTCGCTTACACTGGAAACTGTCGCAGCGCTGACCAGTCTAAAAATATCGCGGCTCAGAAAATTCGGTATTTAGCGTTTCACATTGTAACGGATTTTGCTCTACCCTTTTACTTTACTTGACTACTACCATTGGCCGTGGTATACGTCCGGTTGCCGTTGTGTCGCTCACCCTGACAGGCGCCGACTTTACGCTCCCCGTCCTTTACGAATTCGCATCACAAGGATCGCGACGAGGCAGAGGCAGCCAAACACCTATCCCGATGAAAAGGGGGGGTTCCAGGTCTGTTCAGTGAGATATAGCGGGGGGGGGGGTGCCAGTCACGAAGTGAGAAGTGAAGTGAGAAGTAGGAAGTAATAAGTATTTATTTCGGTGAACGGTGCTAAACAAGTCAGTTAACGACATTAACCAATACACCAGCAACAACAGCACGTTCGTTCTCGAGCCAGCTCGATGTCATCATCGCTCGCACGCGATTTGCCAGTAAGGCTCATCACGCCACTAACGACGCAAAATAATAAATCACTACGTGCATTTAAATACCAGCTGCCCATACAACACAAATACGTTACGGATAACCAGGATCACTTCGCTATACGTAGACTGTCTAAACGAGCGTGTCTCGCGATGGCGACCCTGGTCGTTACAAAATATGTACACGATTACAATATACACGCCAGCTACATATAATTATTACACGAATCAGTGTAGGCCCTACTAGCCATCAGCTAAACCACACACGGCCAAGCTATATTATTACACCATTAGTATACAGCCAATCTGCATCACCTAATAGAACAGATACAGACACTAAAGTTATTACTACATACATTATAGTTCCTTTATATTTAGAACCTCTCCC